GCTTTTGAAAATTGGAGTTTGTCTGTTTATTTTAAGAGATGGGAATTTATGTACTTTCTTTCATGGAATAAATTGAAAACCAAGCGTATTCGGCAAACAGAAATACATTTTAGGAGACAAATAAAACAGGAATTGGGAAAATAAGTGAATTCACATAATAATTAACACCAAAGGAAAATAACTCAAAGAGAACCAATACCATTTACAGAAAAAATTACAATCTACCCGAACGCACGAAATACAACAAAATGGCCGAAACAAAAAGAAAAAAGCAATTTAAGATATTTTACATAATAGCAATAAGCCATCCTCATCTCAGGGAACGAAACTGGATCAAAAAAAGAAAAGAAAAAACTTTCCCGCGAACCAAATGAATAAAGAATTGAATAAACAAACGAATAAAACAACCCAATGAATTATTCAAACGAAACGTCGTACTTTTGGCGGGAAAGTACAAACGAAAAAAAGGTGGTAAAAAGCGCGCGAAAAATCAACCGCCTTCGTCTCCCGCTACCTCGGCGAGAGAGGAATTTGAGGAGGAAAATCGACACTGAATTGTAAGTTAAGGTCGACGAAATTGGTTTTTGAGGATGTTTACGCAAGCTTATGTTTGCTGATGCAGGGGAGTTGGAAGCAAGGGAGAGGGGGGGGAGGAGGGGATAGGGTAGGGGAGGAAGGAGGAGGGAATAGGGTAGGGGAGGAAGGGGGGGAAGGGGGGATATTGTATAACCGCCAGTTTCTCGTTTGAATTTTTATTTTCATTTTTTTCTTTTGATTTGTGTTACGCTCTTGCATTTAAAAAAATGTTTCCTTTCTCTCGGTTCTTGTTTTTATTCTTGTTTCTCTTTTGCTCTGTCAGACTGTTCTCTTTTGGTCTCGCTATCTCTCTGTTTTCGTTTTGGTTTCTCTTCCCTCCTCTCTTCCTCATCTGTCTCTCTCTCTCTCTCCTGTCTCCCTATTCTCTCTCTCTCTCCCTCCTTCCCCTGTCGGACACTCCCCCTATCATTCCTAAATCTCTTCTCTTTTATTTCTCCCTGTTCTTCCTCTTTCCTCTTTTCTTCCCTATACACCTTCCTCCTTCCTACCCTCTCCTTCTCCGTTCTTTTCCCTCCTCCTCTTCCTCCCTCTCCCTCCCTTCTGTATCATTTTTCCTTCTATCCTATGTCTCTCCTTCCTTCCTTTCTTGCTCATTCTTTAACCACTTTCCCTACTTCTCTCTGCTTCCTTCTCTCTTTTTATTTCTTCCATTCCTTTCGCTATCTTACTCTCCCTTCTTCTTGTTTCCCCTTTCCTCCGTATCCTTGCTCCTTCCCCTTCTTCTCTTCCTTCTTCCCTTTGTCTTCCCTCCATTCCTGCATCCCCCACCATCCTCATCCTCTCCCTCCCCACCTCCCATCACTCCCCCATATGCTGCTTCCCCCTTCCCCATCCCTCTACTTCCATTCCTCCAACCTCTATCCTCCCTTCATTCATCTCCCCTCTCCCTCCTCCCTTCCTTTCTCCACATTCCCCTACTTCTTCTCTCCATCTTCCCTCCCTCCCCTCTCCCCCCTCCCTTCATCTCTCCACAAACTTCTACTTCTTTCCCTCTCTCCTCCCTCCTACCCTTCTTCCTCCTCGACTCCTCTTTCCACATCCCCCTACTTCCTTCCCTTCCTCCCTCCCTCCTGCCCCTTCTTCCTCCTCCTTTCCTATCTCCACATCTCCCCTACTTCCTTCCCTCCATCCTCCTCCCCCCTCCCTTCCTCTCTCCACATCCTCCTACTAATCCCGCCATCCTCCCTCCCTCTCCCTCTCTCCACATTCCCCTACTTCCTTCCCTCCTTCCTGTCCCCTCTTCCCCCTCCTTTCCTCTCTCCAATTCCCCAACTTCTTCCCTCCCTCCTTCCTCCTTCCTCCTTCCCTCCCTCCTTCCTCTGCTGATGATATTTTGAGAAAGCTTTTGTTGTCGGAGTTAAAGGTTCAGATGAAACTTGAATGGAATCGCAAGTGAATTATTGGGTTCAGAGCTTTGAATGGGGCGGTAGTAGGTTGTGGGGAGTACGAGCATATGTCTTGTTTGGGAGGTGAAGTTGTATTTTTATGAGTTGTATGAGTTGTTTGGGAGTTGAAGTTGTTTTTTATTTGTATGAATTGTTTGGGAGTTGTTTTTTATTTGTATGTATTGTCTGGGAGTTGAAGTTGTTTTTTATGAGTTGTATGTATTGTTTGGGAGTTGAAGTTGTATTTTTATGAGTTGTTTGGGTTGTTTGGGAGTTGAAGTTGATTTTATGAGTTTGTATGTCTTGTTTGGGAGTTGAAGTTGTATTTTTATGAGTTGTATGAGTTGTTTGGGAGTTGAAGTTGTATTTTTTATGAGTTGTTTGGGGAGTTGAAGTTGTATTTTTATGAGTTGTTTGGGAGTTGAAGTTGTTTTTTATTGAGTTGTTTGGGAGTTGAAGTTGTTTTTTTTATGAGTTGTATGAATTGTTTGGGAGTTGAAGTTGTTTTTTATGAGTTG